TCTTTAGAAAAAGATACAATTTAACATACAATTTTATATAATATAGTGTTACATAACTGTTAATTATATGTGAGCCATTTTCATTAATAGTATCCTGTTCGCATCTTGCACAAATAACTGAAACTCTTTACAAATCGCAAAGATCCAAGATCTAATAGAGAACAGAGCAATAATATTCACCTGTGAGGAAATAAGCAAACATCACACTTTCATAAGCTGCCTCATCATAAATGGTCAGGTACTGAGAAGAAAATGGAAGTCTTCACACCAAGGCCTAATTCCATTTGTCTGTCTTGGCCATTTAACCTCTGCAACAAAGAGTAAGAGGCAGCTTATCAAAAAATGAACCTAATAAGCAACAGGATGATATTTCCCTTTGTAAAATTTAAGTTTTACATGCCTGGCAGGGGCAGCACTCAATTACTGAGAAGTTCTGTCACACCCACAGTGGAGTGTAACTGAAGCAACCAGCCCACATGTGTCAGAGAACCAACCCGGTCATCTCAAATCATGCAAGTCCCAGGTCCTGTAAGCCCTGTTTGCGTCACTTTTGTAAAAATGTATCCACATCCTGGAGACTATAGCAGGAAACACGCAGGACAGAGGTCAGGAAATTTCCTGTACCAAGAAGGGCCAAGGAGATCAGTCACATAACTGGTATTTACTTTTAGTCTGCAATAAAAAAATATGTCCACAGCCAGACAGGGAAGAAGGAAGATATGAAAAAAAATCGTGTTTGTGGTTTTCTGCGTTTTTGTCAGGAGAGGGAAATCAAATATAAGAACTTGAATGGCAGTCTGAGAACAAAGTTGGGAAGCAAAAGCCATTAGCACACAAGGGCACCTTAGCAATGTAGGCAGACTGGGCAGTTTCCACCTAAAGGGCTTCACAGCAAGCAAGGAGAGACAAAAATGAGCTCAGGAAGCACTCACAGACTTTCAAAAAGTCTGCTCCTCCCAGATCTTCAAATCAGAGAGCAGCTCTCAGAGAAGCACCAGATGGCTGAGCATTCGGCTACCGCGATGCTAGATTTGCTGGCAGTGCTTTTTTCCCCCCCATCAAGGGCAGAGACCTAATTCTTTTGAACTGTGTCACCAAGCACACAGCCCAGTGCACACAAGAGGTACTCAAAAACATCTGTTAAATATTGATTCCAATTTATACTGATCATTACACAATGTGGTACCCAGACTGTTTGCTCAGTGCTTAGTGAAGAATTCTCAGAATGTTTTACAAATATCTCCTTCCATTTATAACATGAGATGATCAAACAAGGTGACAGGACATGAAGACACGAGAGAGAGCCATCACAGCAGGAGCACCCGGTTCCCTAGCACCAACAGGCCAGCCCTGCAAGCTCGGGCGGGCCCTAGAAAATCTCGCAGCATCCCCGGAAGCTCTGATCCTGCGGTACAGAGTCTTGCACTTGGCAGTTTCTCACAGCCCAGGTTCTCCTTCTCATCACACTCAGCCTCCAGTATCTCCCCGTCTCTCACACAGTCAGCACTGCACTCAGGGACTCACCAGTGTCCCTCACACTCTCAGCCTCTCCCACACTTGTGGAGTCACCCTCACACTCAGGCTCTCACACCCTCTGGGTTTCTCTCTTTCTCCCTCTCTCTCTCTCTCTCTCTCTCTCTCACACACACACACACACACACACACACGCGCGCGCGCGCGCGCCCTCTCTCTCTCTCCCCCCCCTTCTGGTCTAGGGCGCCTGTCTCTCACGCACACCCAGTCTCCTTCACACCAAGGTCTCTCCCATACTATCAGCGTCATCTTCTCACTCAGGGTGTTTCTTGCGCACACACACAGTCACGCTCAGACTCAGGGGGTCTCTCACACTCACACACGTAGTCTTCCTCACACGCTCAGTCTTCCACTCAGCGTTCCCCACACTCCTGGAGCCACCCTCACGCTCGCAGTCCCTCTTACACGCACAGCGTCACCCCTCCGGCACGCTCTCGCCGCCGCGTCTCTCACGTGCCACCGGCCCGCCCGCTCCGCGCCCGGGTTGGCGGGCCCGCACCCCGCACGTTGCGGCGGCGGCGACCCCGCAGACAGTTCGGCCTCCAGGACGCGGCCCCGGCCCGGCCCGGCCCGGCCCCGGCCCCGGCCCCGCTTCCCCCGCGCACCCGCCCGCGGCCCGTTACCTCGCAGTAGCCAGGCGCCGACAGGATGCTCGGTAGCTCGACCGCCGGGGCCGCCGCGGCCGCTCAGGCCCCGCCCCCGCCACGTCACGCGCCGCCGGATCGCGACAGCGCGCGCCGCGTCGGGACAGGACGCCTAGCTCCGCGCGCGGGGTCGGATTGCGGCGTCACTTCTGGGCCCCTGGGGCCGGCCCGGCTCAGAAGTGCGGTCCCAGCGTCTGCGTGCACTTGGCTGCCCGTGACTAGGGCCCGGCCACCCTCGCTCTAAATGGCCCGCACAGCCGGTTCCTATGTGGCTCTTGGCCACATAGCTTACACAAGGAGCTCTAAACAGTCGCCATACCCTGTTCACCACCAACCCCTTCCCTACGCGCTTTAGGAAGACCTGTCCTCCCACATTCACAGCTCAGCTCCAGCCAAGTCCACTGAGGCCTCCACAGACACATGGACACTGTTGTGCTTCTGTAGCCACCACCACCCCCCCTGCCCCCTGGGGCTCAGGCTTGAGGACATTATTCCATCCTCAACTTGTGTGACCCTACTAACATCCCCTGGGGGGGGGGTAGCTGCACCCTCCTGTCTTCCTCTACCTCTGGCTGCTGCTCCTCCTCCTTTCCTTCTGGGGGCTCTTTTCCTCTGGTAGCTCTGGGCTCTTCTAGGTCTCCTGACCTCATGGGCAGCTGAGCCCTCCACCTTAGCTTCCTTTCCACAACCTCAAGCCATGACTCTCTCCTGGAACATGGAGTCATTTCCCCTGACACGTGTTTACAACTGCACACCCTCTAATTCCAGACTGACCATACCCAAAGCCCTGTTTCCCCATCACCCAGGACGCAGCCAGAGATGGGCAGCACACCTGCCCCCCAAGGACCTGCAGATCTTCTCAAGGTTTTCTTCACTCCAGCTCTAGTAGCCTCCCGATCCCTACCCTTGCCCAGCACCTACTCCCGCCAGGCAGCTCACTCCCACAGGAGAATGACTTTGTATCTCCTCTGCCTAAAAACCCCTCCATTCTCCTACCTATAGACCTGAGACAATGAACCTCGAAGAACCCTCACTCGTATGCCCTCCTTGTGCTCTCGGCTTGGACTACCCTCCCTAAGTGTGAATGAGAGTGCTTGTACATTTGGAGTCATTAGAATCTGACCCTTTAACCCCTGGATCCCTTCCTTCTGTCTCCCTGGCCAGGCAGAGGAAGGACTGCGCTCACTTGTGTCACTCAGTGGCAGCTGGTCCACTTACCCCTGCAACAAACACATACATGACCTGCCAGCATCCAGCTCTCTGGCTTTGCTGTCTCACACCCGGTTACAACCCACCATGAAAGCCCACTATGCAGCAAGCACTGAATCGGATGTTCCCCAATACCATCAGTGTTCCTCAGGACCACCCTGCGGGGTACATTTATTCAGCTCCATTCTTCAGATGAGCAAGCTGAGGCTCAGGGAGGTAAGGAGACTCCCCAGGCTACTTGCCTGGAGCTGGTAGAGCTCAGATTTGAACCCCAGTCGGCTGGTCTTAAAGCCTGCTGACTCCATGCTCTCTCTCTGCAGCTGTGAAACCAAGGATGGCAGTGGGGCTAAAACAGGTCACGGGTGAGTAGGTGGCTGTTAAGGCCACCACAAGGAGTGGCAGGGGAGGGTGGGTGTCAGGGCAGAGCTGGGACTCAGGCTGGGTAGGACCTGGAGGTAAGGGTTTGCACCCTTTTGTGCTGTTACCCTTTTACCAGAGCAAGCAATTGCAGCTGGACCCATGTATCGCTGGGCGTCCTCACCCTCTCTGGGCCACCCTTCTTCCAGGTTTGGCCAATAACTAGTGCAGTGAGGGTTCAGAGCGCCCTCTAGTGGTCCAGGGTGTATTGAAGCCTGAAGCCCAGGCCGGGAGGAGGAGGGGCTTCAGGAGACTAGGGCCCGGCCACCCTCGCTCTAAATGGCCCCGCACAGCCGGTTCCTATGTGGCTCTTGGCCACACAGTTTACACAAGGAGCTCTAAACAGCCGCCACACCCTGTTCACCACCAGCCCCTCAATAATGTCCTCAAGCCTGAGCCCCAGGGGGCGGGGAGGTGGTGGCTACAGAAGCACAACAGTGTCCATGTGTCTGTGGAGGCCTCAGTGGACTTGGCTGGAGCTGAGCTGTGAATGTGGGAGGACAGGTCCCCAGGAACTGGGGCTCCCACCACCCCCACAGCCCTCAACCCCCTCTCTGGGCTCTGCACTACAGACAATCCTGGACCCCATCCCTATACATGTTTCCCTGTATCAGGCTCTCTGTTTCCCTGTCTTTATCCATCTCCACTGGTTCCCAGTCTTGGTCCCTGTCTCTGCCCATCTTGGTCTCTGACCTAGTCTCAGCCTAGTTTCTCCTCCTCCCTCAGTCTCTGTCCCAAGGGAGACAGATGGTGGGCAGACAAACTGAAGAAACAAAGTAGAAGGGTGGTGTCTTAAAAAGAACTCTAGGGTCAAAAGATGCTGAGACCTGAAAGGTGAGAGAGGACAAAAAGGTTGGGAGGCAGAGTCCAGCCAGGGTGACCTGAAGGATTGTCCTCTGCCCCCAGCTCTGTGGCAGCATGTGGGGCCTGCCAGCCAAGCAGGAGCAGAGGGAAAGCAGGAGCCACATTCCAGTGGGAATGTTTCAGGTCCTGGTTCTTAATCCCAGGAGGGGAAATAGATTCCAGGAGATGGGGCAGGAGGGTAAGGCCCAAATAGGTACACAGGAGCCATGCTTTGGTGCTGAGAGAACCCATCAAGGCCCCAGAAAGGGTCTAGCCCGACTACCTACCTCTCTAGCCCCCTCAGCCCTCCACTACCTCCCTCCTCTCATGCTCAGAACAGAGCCTCAGCCAGGGTACTTTACAGCATCCAGAAAATTTTTATTGCCAGAATCAAGGTACAGCCTGCTTAGAGCTCCATGAGGGGCCCACAATCCAGGAATAAAAGGAGAGAGAGATGCTGGGTATGTTCCCAACAGAGAAAATCCAGCTCCACAGAAACCTGGTGGGAGAGCAGCCCAGTCCGGCCCGACTGTGGTTCTGGGGTCCCATCCTAGAGGCGAGACTCAAGTCTTGGCCTACAGCCATCGCCCACTTGGAGATGACTGCCACCAAGGCAGATCCAGACTCTCCATCCCTGCTATTATAGCAAGATCCATGAAGCACCTCTGGAGCAGACAAAAAACTACCCAGGGAGCCCCAAGCCACCTGGCTCTCTCAGGGGCCCACTCAAGTTTCTGGGCTAGTCTCTGCAGACTAACACCAGTGAGCTGCCTGGCGGGAGTAGGTGCTGGGCAAGACAGGCAAGAGCCCTACCTCCTCTCAGCCCTGTGCCAGCCCACCTGGGTGCTAGAAAAACCCTAGGGCAGGGTGGTAATGTGGTGGTGGGCTTATCAAGAGGGCAGCTCAGGGTACCTCTGAATGGCCTTAGCTACTTCCTTGAGTTTTCTTCATGAGTACCTAAAAGGCCATGAGACTGAGCCCTGCTCTCATCCTTGAACCACAGTCCCAGGGCAAAGGGAACCAGCATCAATACTGTGGGTTAACAGCACAACCAAGGGGAATCAAGCCTCCTGGGACAGCGCCCCCAAGAAATGGAGGCCACCTGCTGCTCGATCCCGAGCTAGGCTGTTCTTGGAGGTGAGGGAGGTAGGAGTGAATGGCCCAGTACCTGGGAACTACGGAGAACACAACTCACCCCTGTCTGCAGGAGGAACCAGACTGCCTCCAGAAAGCCACAGTCAGGCTGTTGAGCAACTAGGCCATGGGGAAGCCAGCAGCTCCAGCCACTCACAGCCAGTAGCAAGCCTACCTGTGGCCAGTTTGTGGGAAGATCACCGTAGGGACCAGGAGTCCATCCCTGGGACCTTTAGGGACAGGGACCACAGCTCAGTAATAGCCCTCACAGGAAGACTGAGGGACCAGGGCCTGGTGGGTGAGTGTGAAAAGGCCACAGGAGTATTAGAACAAATGGCCCCTGAGTTCAGGATTGGGGCACCAACCCGCCTGCGGAGCCAGTCCTGAGGTCACAGCAATTCCAACAGCAGCAGCATTCTTTCCAGCAAGGATCCCCCAAGTGAGTCCAGACTCTTTCTTCCTTCCTCACTCCCACAGAGGAAGGACAAGAAACAGCACTTTCCAATGGCAGATATGTCGCAACCCGAGACTGAGGACCTGAGGCAGTCAGTCCCAAGCTGCTGAACTCCCGGGCGGCGAGAGCCCCAAAGGACAAGAGAAGCGAACGGCTGTGGCTAGGCCGTCCCACAGCCCTGCCTGGCGCACGGATCAGGGCCCAAGGAGCACACGTTTCAGATAGGCCAAGGTGGTGGCATTGGCCAGCATCTCTATGTGCTCGCTGCCCGGCAGTGCCTGCAGCGACACTGGGTGCTCCTGGCGGCCACGCCAGGCCCGGCACTGCAGGGCACTCTGCAAGTTCACGGTGCCGTCACCGTCGCCAAAGCAGATTCTGGGCTCGCGGTCTGGGAAGCTCTCGTAGTAGAAGGAGTCTGGCGTGGGGACACCGGTGCCGTAGAGGCAGTGCAGTGGCACGCCAGGTGGCGCCGTGGCTTCGACCAGCCCCTCCGTGTCCTGCCGCATGAGCCACCCGTCTTTGAAGCCGATGTCCTGGAAGAAGCGGCGATAGTCCCGCAGCGTGTAGTTGGTTGTGGGTGTGCGCACGAAGATCTTGCCAGGCGACCAGGTGGAGCTGTAGGGCAGCAGCCAGCTGGTGGAGACGGCAGACCGCTGCTGCTCCCGGATCTTCAGGGGCCCGATGACCGGGATCCGATTGTTGTCTCCTGCAGGGAGAGGGCTAGCTCAGTCTGTGCTCAGGAACACACGCTGGGCCTCTGTGGGGCCCCGGGGAGGGGAGGGAGGGGCCCAGTCAGCACTCCAGCGCCTCCACGCTGTCACTGCACCTCCCATGTTCCCTTTATTTTTGCTCCATCTGCGAAGCACACGACCAGGCCTTGTTTCTTTCCTTCTGCACTTCATCACCAGGGATTTAGGCAGCACATACCCACAAGGTGATTCACTGTGTAAGGAGTACCCTCCACTGAGCGCTTGTCACCGGGCTTGTGGGCACTGACCTTGCTGAAGGTGAATCAGCACGTTGGCAGCCCACAGACACATTCCTCTTTTTCTTTGCTTACACGGAGTTATGAAAATGTTTTTCTTTTCCTAGACTCAGTCTCAGGCCTGCCACCAGCCAGCCTGGTCGTATCCCACTCATCGGCCTGTCACTGACCCGGGCAGCCAGGCCTGCAGGAGACGAGGCAGGAGGGGAGGCTGCAGGCAGAACGAGAACCCTTCTCACACAGGAATGCCAACCACACAGCCAGTGAGGGCCTCTGGGGAGTGAGCTGGAACTGGAAATAGGGGCCATCTGATCTATTCAGGACCCACAGCCACCCATCACCCCACCTCTCTGACTGACCACAGGCCTTCAGCTCTTGTGGGGTCTGGCTGTAGGACCCCTGAGGAAAAGGAAGCCCCTAGCTAGTCCATGACTACCACCCCCCTGTCAGGGCCTGCCGGAACAGTTTCCCAGAATCTGAGGCACAGCTCTAAGGGGACTCACAGGGAGGCTCTGAAAGGCTGGAACCTGAGCCCCACCACAGCTCCTGTCTCAAACTCAGGCATGCCCCTATCTGTCCTTTCAGGTTCAGGCTGGACAGAGTAGGTGGCTGTAATGAGTCCTCACTGTATCTGGATTCACTGTCCAGCCAATCCACGGTCACTACACTGAGTCTAACGTGATGGCAACTATCAGTTGACCAACAAGTAGGTCAGGCAGTGCTGATGATATGAGGAAGAAAACTCCTCAGATGCTTAGCATAGCCATGGCTCATGGCTCCTCAAGTAAGGGGCCGTGGGTTCACCCCGCAGTCCTAGCAGAGGGAGGGAGGAAAGCCCCACGGCTACAGCTGGCAGGCTCTGACAGTCATGAAAAGGCAGGTGAATTGGGGAGGAATGGGGAAGGAGGTGGCTTTCCCCCCTGCCAGGCAAGCAGGCCCAAAGAAATCTGCACCTGCTTCCTCCCGGCATTACCCACAAAGGCTCCCCACTGCCACAGACGGAGGTGTAACTCATAAACAGGAAACTGTAGCCCAACCTTCCTTCTGTGGGGCAAAGGTGGGCATGAAGATAGGGAGAAGGCTCCCCCAAAGAACTCTGGGTCAAACCAAGTTAGGCCAGCCAGGCCAGAGCACAGCCTATGTGTGTACACATAAGCACAATCAAGTACCTGTGTGACCAACAATTGGGCCAGTGCACGGACACGCTGCAAAAAAAAAGTACACAGACACCAAGGACATCAACTAGAGAGATGAAATTAAGTAGCGTTAGGCTCTCTTTTGGGAAAAGAGATGTTTGGAAAAGCATACCGCTCTGGAGAAAGAACGATCCTCACCCAAGAGAAAAGACACGAGGTTTCCCAGGAGGACACTGCTGAAGGAAAGAGAGGGCACCATTCCTGCCACATCAGCCCCCGTATCGGGTAGGTCAGACAGGGTCTTACCTGAGGCCAGGACACGCAAAGTCTTGGCCACGCCCCCCCAGGGCGCACCCAGTGCCACAAACGCACGGATATACTTGTTCTTCCAGGCCTGTGGCTGTCGCTGCAGAAAGTACAGTGTGTACATGTTGCCCATGCTGTGGGCAACCAGCACCACAGGGCCCCCATACAGCTGGTGCATCTCCTCGATCATCTCCCGGAGGGCCAGGAAGTAGGGCCCGTTTTCATCTGTAGGCCAGAGCCAGGCAGGGGTCAGAAAGGAAGGGTCCTGGGACCTGAACCACTAAATGTTCTTCAGGCCAGATCCAGGACTAGGTGGGTGGGGAAAATGCTAAAATCCAAGTAGGAATGGTCTGGTTTCCCCTCCCTTTCCAGGAAGGGAGGAAACCTAGGAGCTCCTTTTCTCCTCCTCAGCCTCATTAGCTCTCCCCAGGGCTCTGAGGCCCAGAAATCCTGGGGTGAGGGATGGGAAGGGACAGGACAGATTGACTAGGGGGTGACAGCTGTGACCGCTGGGATAGACACGAGAGGCCCTGGGGGCAGGGGAGAGCCCAGGGCCTATGGTGGCTGTGACCTCCTCGTCCCCACCTCCCAAGACATCACAGAGGAAGCAAGAGTGACCACTTACTTGGGGCTCGGCGCCAGTCGTAGGGGGCCCCCCGGACATCCTCACCCCGTGTGTAGCCCCAGCTCACAAGGCTCTCTACCATGGTATGGAAATAGGAACCTGCAGACAGTAATGTATGGGAATTAGGGCGAGTACAGCCAGTGCCTGCCCCCAACACCACGCCCAACAAGGAGACTGGGACATCTACTGTAGAAGATCCCCAAAGGAGTGCTATAAGGCTCAGTGGCTACACTGCCAAGAGACAGTTTACAGGCTACCCTTTCAAACCAACAGCATTTCTCCCACTCTGGAAATATAGCAGAACTTCCAGCCCCGTTCCCTGAGGGCATGAGGAAGGGCTACATACCCACACTGCTTTTGCTGGGGTCCAGGAACTCCAGTGAGAAAGTCTTCCCAAAGCCAGGGACGCGCACATCCACACCATCTGGGAACTGGGTGGCCCGGGACGTTCTGTTGTAGACCAGCCTATCAGGGGAGGATTGAGCTGATGACCCAGAGGTGACACTGAACCTGGTGTGTCCTAATACTGCCCTGTGTCTTGAGCCATATTCCCTTACTATCCTCATGTTTGGCAAGTATAGGGGAGACTAAAAAGTAACAAAGCAGGTTTATGAAGCACAGATCAGAGTAACCATACCCACCTGAGACCCCAACCAAGACTCATTCCAAAGATTAACCCAAGAAGCCCCACCAAGGCAGTATTTCCTTCTCAATGTTATCTACCGCAGAATGCAGGTCTTGGATTTGGTTGGGAAATTGGCTCTGCCATCCACATCACACTTGACCCAAAAGGCAGTCAGCCTAATCTTGCACACTCCCACCGCCCCATCTGCATGGATTCACCTCCTACCACTCAACACGACACAAGCAAAGGAGAGGGTAAGTGTAGCACACAACAGAACCAAACAGAGCAACCCCCACCTTAAGGCCCAAACACCCGTGGCTGCTATGTGGATGGACGGGCAAGGCCTGGAAAATGATGGGACAGGGTGGTGGGAGACAAGAGGAAAGCTTTGTGCTAGCCGGGAACCCTGTTCTGGCCTCCCTGATACCAAGGAGACAAATGTGCCCAAGGAAACACAGGCTAGACCTGCGATCCTTGGTGGCCCTGAGTCCTAACCCCCTAAGATCAGCCACAGAAAGCTGACAAGATACCCAACATTGATCCAAATAATAGGTCCTGGGGACCCATTTTCTCTAGGGCAATCTGTGGATGAACCCAGTGGCCACTCAGCAAAGTGTAGAAAACTTTCTACAAATCCAAAGCCGCTCTAAACAGGTCAGATGTCCAATGAAGGTAGACAAGCCCCTCTCAGTATCAGCCTGAACCTCCCATTGGCAGTACCTGAGACTATGCCTCTCGTATAAAAATAGAACTGCAGATCAACAGCCCAGAAATAACCCTGATCACGTACAGAAGAGGAAAAAGTCAACAAAGCAGATGTCATAAACAACAGGGAAAGGCAAGGCACCTGCAGAACCAGCTAGTATGTCTCCAGGAAAAAAATTTAATTTGTGAGACTCTATTCAGCTCAAACATTTACTGAGCACCAGTTGTGTTCCTGGTTCTACTGCTATAAAGATAAAAGAGAGACAACCTCTGTCTTCAGGGAGCTGGGTCTTAGGGTCACACAATCTGGGTTTAAGTCTTGGTTCTGCCACTTATGAGCTAAGTGACCCTAGGCAACTTTGTAATCTTTGAGCTTCCAGATTTCCTCATCTGTAAACAGGGCTGAAAACAGTACCTGTCTCATAGGGTTGCTATAAGACTAAATGAGAGAAAGTATGTAATATAGACAGTGCCTGTATTCGATAAGCAGTTATTCCCAAAACATTATCTTATTAGTAGGGAAACATCCTTGGAAGCAAAGTTTGGCACCTGATAAGGATGAAAGGAAATAGGCACGTGGCCTGGAGGAAGGAAAGGTTAAGAGCTCCCTGCTCCTTGGGAGCCTGCTTCTCCCTCTGCTTCTCTCTTTCCCTCTCTGCTTCTCATGAATAAATAAATAAAATCTTAAAAAAAAAAAAAAAAAAACAGAGCTCTGGGGAGTGGCAAGGGAAACTTTCCAGAAAGACCAGGCTTAGGTTTTAAAAGGGTGAATGGGAGGGAATTTATCAGGCAAAGGGTGTAGAGGTAGATTCCAGGCTGAAAGAACCACATGCACAAAGACATGGAGACCTGGTATGTCCCAGGAGGAACAAGAAGCTGAGGGGCCAGTGGCCAACTCAGAGGCAAGGGAAGAAGTGGAGGCCATACTGAATCTATGAATAGGGGCTGGAGCATAGAATCTACATGTAAGAGGGTGCCTGGTCGGCTCAGTCGGTAGAGCATGGGGCTCTTATCTCGAGATTGTGAGTTCAAGCCCCACATTAGGTGCAGGGATTTTTTTTTTCTTTTAATAGACTTTCTTTCTCTCTTTCTCTTTCTTTCTTTCTCTCTCTCTCTCTTTCTTTCCTTCTTTCGTTTTAAAGATTCTATTTATTTGAGAGAGAGAATGAGATAGAGCATGAGAGGGGGGAGGGTCAGAGGGAGAAGCAGACTTCCCGCCGAGCCGGGAGCCCGATGCGGGACTCGATCCTGGGACTCCAGGATCACAATCTGAGCCGAAGGCAGTCGCCCAACCAACTGAGCCACCCAGGCGCCCTAGACTTTACTTACTTGAGAGAGAGAGAAGGAGCAGGGGGAGGGGCAGAGGGAGAGGGAGAGCCCGATGCGGGGCTCCATCCCAGGGCCCTGGGATCATGACCTGAGCCGAAGGCAGACTCTTAACCGACTGAGCCACCCAGGCGCCCAAAATAAAATCTTAAGAAAAAAAAAAAAAGAATTCACGCAGAGGGTGTGAAGCACAAGGCATAACTGGAAAGGCTGGGACAAGAGCTGCAGGAAAGGGAAGAAAGTTCTGTCTGGGAGGGTGCAGAGATGGTGCCGTTCAGACTGACGAAAGGAGAAGGGCAAGAGGTCAGTGACCTCAGGGTGTGCTGAAGTGGGGACGAGACAGAAACGGGTTCTAGAGATTTCTCTAGGCTGGGTTGGTGAGCAGCACCGTGTCTGTGCCCCAGCCCCCACCTGATATTGTCAATCCAGCAGTCAATGATAACTGGCAGCAGCAGTTCGAGGTTGAGCCAGAGCGTGAAGTAGCTGTCTGTCCTCTTGGAGCAGAGGTAGTGCACGACCGTTGGCTTGTCTAGCTTTGCTTCCAGCTGGTTGCCCAAATCACCGGGCACTGCAGAGGGACACAGAGCACGCGTGAGGCCCTGGACCTGGCAGGCTGGGGACCCCTGAGGCTCGAACCCAAAGGCCTTCTACCACAGCTGTCCCAGGCTACAGAGGAGGGCCTTGTTCACTCAAAGAAGGAGTGGGAAACAGGACAAAGCACTGGGCCACTTAACCAACCAAAACTGAATCCAGAGAAGGCACTCCAGGGCAGGCTTGTGGAGGGGGGCAATGATAAGAGGTAGCTGCCAGCCTACTGAGAGCCCAGTAAGGTTCCAGGGAGCAGACCATCTGCAGGGCCCTCGCCTCTCAGCACACCTGGCCCCTGTGGCAGAGATGGCTACCCTGAAACATCACCGCATTCCAGCCATGGCCCAGTAGGGATGGTATGCCCAGGCCCCAAGGATAACTTCTCTCTGCCCAAGCTGCTCAACAGACCAGCTACACAGAGCCTGGTCTACACAGAGCCCTGGGGCCCTTGTGACACTCAAACCCATCCCCATGGCTTCACTGCCCAATATTAAGGCCCTTCCCAGAATATTTGCTCCCATTGGCCTTTCAGGCCTCACCTGCTTCTACATGCCATGCTCTTGACACCTTCCAAGCACATCCCCATTTAGAATCCATGATCCCTGAGTGAACAACCAGCTCTTGGCTCTCCTGAGCCTTCTCAGGGCTCTGTGAACCCAGCCCTGAAGAGGGCATGCCCTCCCCTGTACATCATCTGTGTCCTCAGGGCAACCATGGGAGGCAGGTATGACACCTGCCTTCACCTCCCTTAACAATACAGATGCAGAAGTGGGGAGTCTTCAGCATGACAGTGCAGAGACCTTGGTCACTGTCTCCACCAAAAAGGAATTGGCTAAATGAGGAAGCTACCAGATTTGCTGTGCCTGAATGCCCTTTGTCCTGGACAGGCTGTGTGGTGATTTCTTAAGCCCCTTGCTGCTTAAAACTAGGACATCTATGTACCCTTCACTGCAAATAACACTGGGAGAGAACATCCTTACAATGCCCACTTTACAGATGAGGAGACTGAGGCTGAGACGGGCAGAAATGGCTTGCTACAGTTTCCTCCTGCCCACTTCTTTTGTATCACTTCTCTGGTCTCTGCTTCCTCTACCACCAATTTGGGTCTCACTCATAGAGGCTGGTCACCCTGGGATGCCAATCCTCTGATGGCCAAGGTCAGGTCCCTGCTCTGGTGCACAGGAACAGCTCTTCCACTGCCCACCATGGGGTTTCCCAGGATTGATGCCAACACCTTCACTCTCTGAGAAGCTAGGCAGATGAGGATTCTGTGACTCTGGGTGGAGCGTAAGGCTCCTCTGCTGTGACCTAGGACAACCAAGAACTGAATGAATTAATGAGCGCGGTGATCCAAGCAAAAAGCCTGCGTGCATCAGGGACCACACATTTCCCAATGCCACACCCTTCATACTCAGAACTTAGGCCTACCTGTGCCGCCCTGTGGGTCTAGAGGATAAAGTCTAGATGACCCAACCAGTCACAGGCCCTGCACAATCCACTCCTTCCCCAACTCCATTCCAGACAGCCTGGACTGCTTACCTCCCTCCCTCTAATATGTAGTTTCCTCTTCCTGGTACTCTCTCTTGGCCTCAGCTCTAGCTACACACTCCAAGAAGCCTTTCCTGACTGGGTTGGTGGACTCTCTGTGCTTGCCCAACACAGACCTCATCTCTGGGGACCCCTGCAAGCTTAGGGAATGCAGGGCCATGTCTGCCCAAATCCCATGGTGAACCTGAGCCCAGCATCCCCTTGGGGTATTTCCTGGCCCAGAGTTCCTGATGGGGGACCCCCTTGGGACCACACTGCCTGCCAACCCTATGCCTCTGCAATCTGCATCATCCCCATTAAAATATTCCCATTAGAAAGAGCATGGGGGTCATGCTGTAGCAGACTCAGTATGTAACATGTCTCTGCCTTTAGGAGTCCTGGCTGGCCACCAACTCAATGCTTGAATGAAGACAGAAGTCTCTTCCCTGTCCACCACCACAGGGTAATACTGTGGCTCCTGTGGACTTGCAGGGGCCAGGGCCACGAGGGGATAAGCAGGGAAGGTCATCCAGCCCCAGTATAGCCCAGTCCAAATTGGTCTGGCAGAGTACAGGCATGTTCCTTGACGTCTGTTCATAGCCACTGTCCCAAACCTTACCTCTGTCTTTAGCCATCCTCAGATTCCCTTAAGCCTCCTCCCTCAGGCCTAAGGCCACCCATTTGATAAGTTTGGGGGTGGGGGAAGTCTTGGTGGCAGGCTAGGAGAGCCGTTCTTTCCTCAAAAAGCTTTTTAATAATGCCTCCTGAAACACATGGGGCTGGAAGGGTCAAGAGAGCCTCCTAGCCATGCCCAAACCAACAATGAGGACCCTGGGGACCAAATCCGAGAACATCCAACTCCCCGGCGATCCTCAGGAGTGGGGCCAAAGGACCTCGGTCTCTCCAGCTAAAAAATGGGCATAAAGCGAGGCAACGCTTGGGACTGACGCAGACACAGCACTGAGGGACAACCGCACCGTAGCCCTCCCACTTACCCCATATTCTACAGGAGAAGGTGAGCAGAGGTTGACCACACCGCGCCCAGCATGGCGGGAGGTGGACGGACAGACCCAGGAGGCAAGACAGTCATATGCTCCCCCACCCCATGCTCAGAGCAGATGCAGACCTGGAAGACGGCCAACCCCCCCGCCCCGGAGCCCGTCCTGCCGGACCCACGAACACACGGACCCACGACTGGACGCGCGCCTCACCCAGCACCACCGGAGGGGGACGTCCGACCGGGAGCGCCGGATCCGCCAAGAGCAGGAGGCACAGGAAGCCACCCGGGAGCAGCGCCGCATGGTAGGGACAAAGGCGAAGACCCATTGCGTGACACCGCCGCTACAGGTCCGAGGTGCGGATTCAGCGCTCTGTGCTCGCGCCTAGGCCGGGGCGGCGGCGACGCGCTTAACCCCACCGCCCGCACTCGGCCGCGGCGGCCGGACCAATCAGCATCCGCCTCCCCCAAACGGCCTGCCAATAGGGACTCGCCGCCAGGCACGTCCCTCACAGTCGGAGCTCACCGCCTCGCCCCTGCGATTCCCAGGCCAGCTCCTTGGACCGCGCCGCGCGCCGAGCGCATCGATCGCATCGATCGCATCGATCGATCCGGGTTCAGCCTGGCTTCTCTGCTCAGTCCCGGACCCAGCTCGCCGCTGCTGGATACCCAACCCAGCCTTGTGTACCCAAAGTCCACGCTGCGCAGCCCTCACCCCCAGTTCCTGGCTCGTCCCTGACCTGAGATCTGGAACGGGTCGGGCCGAGGGTGGGTTCAGAGTCCAGTGCTCGCCGCTGCTGAGAGACTCTGGTCAGAGCAAGGGGAAGAAGGGGAAAAGTGAGTCCCGGAAAGTTATTGGGCCTTAGGGGACCGGGAGCTGACCAGGACCTTTGTGCAGTCCCCACACCGATTCTTCACACCCTGCGCCGACGGCACGTGGGTTCAAGCAAGGGGTCCAGGGGCCCCCTGCGTCTGTCCAGGGATTAGGAATGCAGGTGGGACAAGTGAGGGCTGCCCGGCCTAAAGTTTTAGTTCCGGGTAATATGGAGTCACCCCTCCAGACTGAGCAGTTCTAGTGCCCCAGAGAAAGTGGGTTTGAACTTCAACCCTATGGCCATGGCCCATTGGCAGATTCCCCAGCAGAGCAGGACAGGTGTTGTGACCTTGGAGTCCACCTACCATTCCCACTCCACGCAAACTGGGGATCCAGAGAGGACACAGACTCCCTGCTGGAGGAATCAGAGGCAAACAGAATGGGCAGATTTGACAGCTGGCGATATGACCAGCACCACGGGTCACTCTAGGATCCAGAGACCAGTATGTTTGGAGACAGAAAGTCTTGATCCTCCACACACTTACTCCTGAGGGCCAGACAACACCCTGATCATCCCCTGGTCTTAAGACTTCTAGCCCTCCCCTTCCTTCCTTCCTCTTGGCCAATAGCTGACCCTTTGTAGCCTTTCAGAGTACTCCTGGATGAATCAACTCACCATCTTGGCCTGCCCCTCCTGTGTTCTTATAGGGGAACACATTGGTGGTTGGGGTACACTACTCTCTTAAGGTCCAACTATCTCCCTCAGGCCCTGGCAAGGACCCCAAACCCTGACTCGCTCACCTCCATCCTGACCCCCAGAAAGAGGGGTTGCTAAGGACCAATCTAGTGCAGGTCCACAGTGGGAGACCATAGACATCCTTTTGCCAGTACTAGGAACAGGCAGGAGTCCACAGTCAAGGGTTAAGTGGAGGGAGGGTAGGCATCAGGATGGCCTGGGCGGCCTTGGACTGTGGCCAGTCTGAATGTCTTGTCAACCCAGCAGCCTCAGGTGACCATGGGCTCTTCACAGGGTGTCCCAGTCCCACAGGCTCTGCAGATAATAGGAACCACAGCCATTGCGGGGTGAGGATGTCAAGACCTAGTCAGCAATGATCTGTGCTGGCACTGTGGAGAGGAGAGGAATCAGAAGGTAAGGATCCCCCCTTCTCACAATGACCTTGCCGTCCACATGATCGCCCTTGGCTGCAGACCTGGACTCTAGATACTATCCTGATTCTCAGACCCCACAACCAGGTGGTCACCAAGCCTTGCCCCCCCTACCTTCCCAAAGCCAAACCACTTTCATCCCCATAGTAGTCTCCTTGCTCATGTGCCAATTTATGCCCTTATTCCTATGGATTGTTCTCCATGGGGTTGACACCATTAAACATTAAATCAGGCCCATCACTTTCCGCCTAACCCCACTCACAATGCTCCTACTGAATGCGTCATAGGCATCTCACTCATAGTGAATGAGGAGCCTGCAGGGGACTCTGGCCTTTTCCCACAACTTTCACTTCCCTTCTTCCTCAGCTCGCTTGTCTCCACCTTCAACAGCTTCCTCGCTGCCTAGAACAGGACAACCTCATTCTTGCTCTGGACCTCTGCACTTGTTGCACTGGGGTCACTCTGCAGCCCCCAGTTTGGGGGACTCAGCTGACCTCTGCCTTTAGGCCTCAGCCCAGACACAACCAATGATTCTGGAGCAGCCCCGGCCTGACTCCCAGCAGAATATAAGCCATGGAAGAGGAAGCCTTCACCTGCCTGTTACTGGTGCAACTGCCTTCTTGGTTACTAGGTATCATTAGCACAGTCCCAGGCGGACAGCAGGTGCTTAACATATACTGGATGATTGAGTGATACACCCCCTTCTCTAACACTTCCCCCTTCCAGGATATGGTCCTGGTGGGTGCCTCTCCGACCTGGAGAAGGAGATAAGGGACTGAGAGGGCCACAGGCCAGTTGTGCTAGCTTCCTCCGATGAGAATCCAGCCAACAGCCTTTGCCCTTTCTCTGTTACACTGGGTCCTTTGCATTCCCTCTTGCTCGCACAAGTTCCAAGCTCCCCTGTCTGGACCAGGTGGGTGCCTGGGCTTCGGGCAACCCAACCAAGACCACGGCTTCTAAGCCAGAGTTGAGCCCATTTGGAGGCCAACTGATTCTCCCTAAAGCTCACAGTTCATCAGGCTCTTATTCCTCTGATGCCAGAGCCAAACACTGACCAAATCATGACAGAACAGGTTATCTATATGTTTTTAAAGATTTTATTTATTTATTTGACACAGAGAGAGCGTGGGCACAAGCAGAGGGAGCGGGAGGGAGAGGGAGAAGCAGGCTCCCCACTGAGCAGGGCACCGGATGCAGGGGATCCCACGGTCCTGGGATCGATGGGGTTTTGGAATATAGGTTAGGCTCAGTGGGGTGGAGTCTGGAGTCAACGACTAAGAATTCTTGAGACGTCTTTGGTGCAGAATGCTGGTTTATTAAAGGACGGGCGGTAGGGCCATGGGCAGAAAAGCTGGGCACCGGGGTTGTGAGGGGTGGCTGATTATATACTATGGGGTTGGGGGATGGTAAGGAAAAAGAACTTTCATATGCTAAGGAGGACCTACAAGATCCTGGAGGCCTTGCCATTGTCAACTTAGGGTTGTTTTTCCCCTCTAGCAAGACATTAACATTAAGATAGTTGGGAGATTCCTGAAGAATGTCACATATGTCCCACCCAGGAGTGGGGGATGGGGGTGGTTGCAGAGTGTCAGCTTATGCTTTGTCTTCAGCCAGTCTTCTGTTCCCTCATCAGGATCATGACCTGAGCCGAAGGCAGGTGCCCAACCGACTGAGCCACCCAGGTGCCCCCAGAACAGGTTATCTAACCTGGCTTAGGCATCAACGAATGTTACCTGGAGGAAGAATTATTCGAGATGGGTCTTGAAGAATAAGTAGGAATTTGCCAGGAAAACAAAGGGATGAGTAGGTGGGTGGGTGCTCCAGGTAGGGAGCTTAGTATTTGCAACAGCCTGGAGACCTGAACAATAACAGTTAAGTGTGTCTGGGGCACATGGTGGGTGGGAACGGAACAGAGAGGTTGGAGGTCTTGAAAACCAAGCTTAAAAACTTGGCCTCTGTACAGGAAGCCAGGATCTGCAAAGATGCTCAAACCAGAAGGAGGCGGTCTCAAGGCCCTTCCCTTTTCACTTCTGTCCTAGAGCCTTGCCGGTTGGGCTCTCCTGTGCAAGTTCCTCCTCCCAGCCCCCAACGCCTGGTTCAGGCGACAGGGTCAGTGCGCCCTCTGGTGGGTACTCGGCGAAGATTCGGCAAAAGCGTTCAGCTGGGAACCTGGGTGGAACCCAGTGCGCCGGCTACCCTGGAGGGCCAGGAGATAAGGGTAGCTGCAGATGGTCAAGTTGCGGTCCACTGGGCCGCAGAGGGTGTGGATGGGCCAGAGCCGGCGAGTGTAGATCGCCACAGTGGATCCCACCAGGCATCCAGCGTAGAATCGTCTCCCACAGTGGGATATTTTCTGGCCTGGGAGGGAGAGAAGAGGGCCCTTTTACACCACTCCTAGATGCCCTGCAGGTCCACATGACCGGCCACACTCCGGGGCCCACATGAGGACCCCCACCCGGTATCTGCGCCGACCTTCACGTACCCGCCGCTGGAGCGCCAGTTGCCTCCATAGCAGGCCTCCAGGGGCTGAGATAAGGATGGGATTCCGCACGTGTGTGGCCTGGGTCACAGGACCAAGTTCCTTTCCCCCAAGTACCTGCATTATAGTTTGGGAAACGCTATGGGCTGGACCTTTGGAGCCTTGCTCACCCCTTTCACGAATGTTATTTTCAATTCATTCATTAACGATTTATGAACCCTAGTAGCTGGGTTGGGATGGGGGACACTGCCCAATGAAATACAGGAAATCTCATACTACAGTGGGGACCCCTGCTACAGAGGGAGGTGCCTTGAGAGAAAATCTGGAAGAGCAGGCGTTAACTAGGACAAGGGATGGGTTGGGAGGGGGGTGGAAAGAGCTCAGATGAGACTCCTAGAGGAAAAGGCCCATAGCCCCAGGGAAGGTTACTAGTGCTGAAAGTTACTAGGCTGATGATGCAAAGCAAAGCACTTAAGACAACCATTCATTCATTCATTGAGCAAGTTTACTACAAGCCAGGCGCACTGATAAGCCCTGGGAATGAGCCTGTCCTCCGGGATCTGAGTTCTGAGTTCGGGGTGGATGTGGTGTAGGGAGACAATAAATGATTTGTCATTTATTATGAAGTTACTTTAGTGTTGGGGGAAAGGAATGAGGGTTGTTTAGTATTAATGGTGTGATCTGGGAGGATCCATCTGAAGATGAGTAAAGGAGTTCAGCAAAGCAGGGGCTCTAACGTTATTTTATTTTATTTTATTTATTTTTTCCTAACGTTATTTTAATGAATTTAGTTTTTCAAGAAGAGTCCAAGCATCGGGAATTGTCATGCGGTTGGAGATGGGCGGAGTTGCCCCACGCTGCCAGGATGGCTCGAGGTGCCACAATGGAGAGGTCACCTCAAGAAGGTGGCTTCCCTAAAGACCTGACCTCGAGACCCACAATGAAAGAATAGGGAAGGGCCTAGCGTGAAGGTCTAGAGGTTAAACGGATGGGGGCTCCGGGAAGGCTGAGATCGAGATCGAGTTAGCTTTCAGATGGCAAGGTGGTGACGCCGGACTGTCC